GAACAATGTATTGTTGTGATCTGTTTAGTTGAATACTATACAAATAAGTCAATTGCTAGAGTCCCTGTCAATTTGAACTCTCGGAAACACATTTCCATTCATTTTAACCATTGATTGATCTTGGGGCCCCGAACAGGTGCATCAATTTCTGCGAATTGATCTAGAGTTATTATTATTTTATTAAGAACTCTAATGGAAGGTGCACAATGTTTTGTAGAAAAATAATACTCTGAAGTTCTTATGGTATGCAAGGATTAATACTATTCATAACAAAGTTATTTCAGTTACCTTTTCTGACAAAGGAGTTTGTTATATGATTTTTAAATGGTATTGGTAGCTTCCTATACCGTATTGGTTGTCATTAGCATTGGCATTGACATCACTAACTTTATGGGTCAATGTGATTATCTCAGAACATGTTCTTAGATGTGACTGTTTGTGGATGATACTCAATTATGAGGTTATACTTGGTCCTTGAACATTCCAAGCATACATAGCACAACCTGAGAAATTTATCTTTCATCTGATTTCAGGAAAAGCAAACTGATTTTTCTATGTTTTAAAAGAACAAATATCAGTTTGACAGATAGGAGTTGCTCCATTTACTTTTATGTTAAAATAATTATGTGAAAATGACATAGATGTCATAATTTTTCAGGAAGAACTGACATAAATTTTTCCTTGTCAGTTGTAACAAATTTTGGCTAAGTATATCTTCGATGAAGATCCATTTAAACCAAATTTAATATATAGACCAAAAATATTATAAAATGTTTATACTTTATAATATACATCGTAGTCCTATGTAGAATCTGAATGTTTACATCCCTAATATATGGTTCTTATATGACAGATTAATTAGATATGTAATGAATGAGGAATCAGGGATGTTAGAAAGAGTGATTGACAGCATGGACATGGGACCTTTTACAGCTACCAAACTTGTTTACTTATTAGCTAAGAGTGAGCTGATGATTTGTCATTTATCAGGCTGATATGTTAAAGGTAAATAAATATGATGGGTATATGTAAGGGAACATATTTATATAAGGCTATTAACCAAATCAAATTGTATTATTATTTCTATAATGTTTAGCAGTCTTCTTTGGAAGTTGTAATTGTAATAGAATTTTAATGACAGAAGACAAGGACCAAACTAATTTATTCTACTACTAGTGAAAAAAATTAAGATTTAGAATTATCCTAAATGAACTTAAAAAATATTTTTATACTTTTCTTATTTAAGAGTTGCTCTACTTCACAGTTCTGTATGTATATTCTCTTTCTGTAGGGAAAATGAAATAGATATGCCATTTTCCTCTCTCATTGCCATTGATAATTAACGATGCAGATCCGAAATGAGAAGGCTAGGAGATATTTAAGTAATATGCGGAAGAAGCCAACAATTCCTTTCTCTCAGAAGTTTCCTGGTGTGGATCCTTTGGCTCTCCATTTACTGGAGCGCCTACTTGCATTTGATCCTAAAGATCGGCCTACTGCTGAAGAGATAGGATTCAGTAACCTTGATGCCTTTTTATCCAAAAAAAGTCAACATGTCTATTGTCCTTATGTTGTGAATCGAACCTTGTATGCTGATTTGTATTTTCTTCTCTCTTCAGTCACTTTCCGATCCTTATTTCCGAGGTCTGTCAAATGTTGATCGTGAACCTTCAACACAACCTATCTCAAAACTTGAGTTTGAGTTTGAAAGGAGGAAATTGACAAAGGACGATGTGCGAGAACTAATCTATCGAGAGGTACAACCACAAATATGTACTTTGACTTTATAAAGTACTGGTCCACAAACGGTGGATAAATTGGTGTCATACAGATCTTGGAGTATCATCCTCAGATGCTGCAGGAGTATCTCCGTGGTGCAGATCAAACTAACTTTATGTACCCTAGGTTAGTCATCAAACACATTCATAGGTCATAATTTTAATCAATTAAGTAGTTAAGCTGAATCTACCAATGAGTAGTATTATGATGCTCAAACTAATTTTTGTTGTTCCATATAAAAAATGCATTATTTAATAATAATGCTTATTTACCTAACATGTGTCAAATCAAATGATTTCATTGTGGATATGCCTTTTGCGCATCAGTAAACGATTATTCAGGAGCAAAGATCAGACACTTGGACATGCACTCAAGGCTGCTTGTTCAATCACTTTTGCCTGAGATCGAGTCTTGAGAATCTTCTTACTAGACAGAAAGGCAGTAAATTTTACACATGCACCTAATTCAAAGTTTGTCGTTTTTAGGCTTGTATTCTCATGAATTTTATGTTTGCACTTTGTCACCATTTTCAGTTCCTTAACCAAGGACTTACAAATGATTGGTTGGGTTAGATAATCAATATACTGTGGGAAGAGATTTAGCCCTACCTTCTGCAGAAATTCATTCACATTTTGGACTTAACAGATCATACTATGGCTTTTTGCACTAGCAGTGTAGCTTAAATACAATCATATCTATTGCCTGAAAATTCTAATAAGTACTGCACTATTTTGTTGGTTAAACGTCATTATTTGGTATGTTAAGGATGTGAATGTGAATTCAGTCTAACCTCACTAGTAAGTCTGAGTAAGATGTATCCAGGATGCTAAGCTATTATTTACTGGTTTAATTTGCCTTGTTGTTAGTCTCATAAATGTATAGACTTGGTGCAGCACCACTTGTTGTTAACAAAGATCATAGTGTCTGGATACCAGTCCTTGTAGCTTACGTGGAGAAAATAGCTGTAGAATAGATGCTAACTGATAGGCATACTCATGAAAGAGTTCTAGGAACAGGGGTTTTGGATAAGTTCTATATTAATAAGTTGTATGCCCATAAGAAATTAGTATTTCATGTCGAGTCCATTACTGAGGTAGACACATTTAGTTGTTCTGTAGTCTTGGTAAACTGCTGAACAGTAATAAAGTATGCATATGATTTATCAGTGAAATTATTTGTGCAACAAGAAAGGCTACATGAATATTCTTTAATTTTCTTATCTTGAAAACCTGTCTTTTTCATTGCAATTAATTGATAATTTCCTGTTTGAGTTACTGTTTGAAAGTTTCCTTTGTTATGTGTTCAATTTAAGGAGCACTTTTATTGTACTGGTCTGATCTATATGACACTAGCCTTGTGTCTCAACTAGTTCTAGTTATTTGCATTGCCTTCATGTCAAGATATCCTTGCCTTGGCATGAACCAGTGTCAGTAACCAACTTTTATGCCTCGTTATGGCAATCCTTGCTATGTTTTTTTCTGTTTATATTACAAGTGAAATATCAGGTTCCATGCCATAATGTCCAAATTTCACCCTGAGCATGTTGGTGCCTCCCACTGTAACATAGATTATGGTTATTGCAAGTTCCATGTTTGTTATTATGGATGAACAATAAAGGTAATTATCAAAGTGTTGGACTGTTTTCAGAATACTCTTGCTGTAACTAATGATGACAGATATGTATAGAATTGGATGACACTTACCTAAACCAGTTACTTTCTATCAGTGGTGTTGATCGCTTCAAGCGCCAATTTGCTCATCTTGAAGAGCATTATGGTAAAGGGGACAGAAGCACTCCACTCCAACGGCAACATGCTTCCTTGCCAAGGTAATACCAGATTAAGAAAGATGAGTCTATTCACGCTCTCTGTGAATTGTTTCTCTCACTGAGTAAATCTATTTCATGGAATGGTGATTTTAACTTGTAACTTTCCTGTATCACATCTTCTGTGTTCCCAGGGAGAGGATTGGTGCAAATAAAGACAGCATTGCTGATCGAAATAATGAATTTGAAGGGCGAAGTGTTGAATCTGTTGCTCGCAGTACCCTCGAAAGCCCTACAAAGTCACAGCAAGGTGTGAGGTCAGATCAGTCATCAGTCGCTGATGGACTAAGCAAGTCAAAACACAGTGCACGTAGCTTGTTGAAGAGTGAAAGCATCAGTGCTTCCAAGTGTGTAGTTGTCAAACAAAGGAAGGATAAACAAGTAAGTGAACAATGTCATTCATTACATATTATTTTGTTCTTGATCCTGATCTCTTATCAAAGAATTTGCATTTATAGTACTGGCAAGATGTGAAGAATTCTTTAAATCAATGATTGAAATTTTGTACCATATCGAAGTTTCAAGCTTTGCTCGGTATGGTACGGTACGGTGTACAGAGTGGTATGCCTAATTTAGACGTAAAATCCTCCAAAAATACTTGAAAAATAAAAAAAAAGTTAGAATAGGGTTTTTAAGTTAGAAATAAATATAGTAACAGTATAAGTTTAGCAAAATCAATGTAAATTAGGTAAGAATAGTATCATATATCTTTTTCGGACTTTGAGGAATAGTCTTGTGCAATGTTCGTATTTCGATCCGTTACGGATTGTCTTTCTGTAAATATTAAAATATCTACAGAAAAATTATTTAAATTGTTAGATTATTTTATTACAATATAAACTTTAAAATTCAAATGGATTAGATAATCACATATGTAAATATACCTCATTGTTGATTCTACCATCAAAACGAACGATGGGCCTCAACGGGTGGTGGATCGGAGTCCTCATCCTATGCATTTGCATATCAATATGATATGTTTGTTGGACCCAATCCTGAAATTGATCCCACAACATAGTGCATTGATACACCGTATACCATTGGTGTATAAATATGGTAATGATCGTAAGCTGATCGTCATGAATTACATTTGACGAGGCGACTCCTGAGACATGTATTGGTGAATGTCAGAGCTTCTACTTTCGCTACTGATCTGCTGCTCCGTATTATATTGTTACTTGGAGAAGTATGATCAACTATCACCGTACTGTTGGTCGTACTGCTCTTGATTAAAAAGTTTTTTCTCTTAATCCTCCCAAATTAGCTTTGATTCAATTCACAAATCGTTACTTTATAGAGTTTAGGAGAGTGCAAATGTGAGAATAAGAAAGAAAATGTGAGAAAAAATGAGGAGTGTGAGAGTGAGATTGAGTGAAATAGGGGGGGAGGATGGGTTTAAAAACCCATGAGAAAGGGCTCCAACAGTCAATTTGACCATTGGAACACTGTTACGTGTCGGTAATAGTCGATTTCAACCATTACCACTCGATATAGTTCCGTAACGTTCGATACGGGGCGATATCCAACGTTCTGCCTGGTAGTGGGCACTCCGCGTATCGGTCTGTTGGCGGACCGGTACGTACCGGCCGTATCGGACGGTATTATTCGAAATTAAAAATATTATTTTAAATGATGTCATTTCTTCAAAGGAGGTAGATCTAGTTTCATCATGAACAATGTCATTCATTATGGCTTCTTTTGTTCTTGATCCTGATCTCTTATTAAAAGATTTAGTTTCACATCATGAAGTTTCCATAAGAATCCATTTTGACATGCAAAAGCCAATTCAAGATCAGTTGTGTATTGAGCATGTTCTCGACTACTCATCCATGAAACTTTTTGCAAAAATAATCTCTGTTGTCTACCCTATCAGGAGGAATCAGGATCTGAGGCCACAGATCAGGTGGTTGATGGATTGTCCCACAAGTTGGCTCAGTTATATTCTTGAGACTTGTTCATTTGGTGAATTGGGAGAACAATGTCAGGCACATAGAAACGACCGCCGAGGCTCAAGCTCAGATCAGGTTGTCAGACGTCTCGATGAACACTGTAATATCCTCTGTTCGAGTTACAATACCTCTTATACGATCACATTTTTCACGTCCCACCGTGTTCTGTGCTCTTATTGTTGCTGAAAGATCAGCATTCCTTTTATTATTTTGACTGTGTTAACACTCAGAAAAGCAAACAAAAATGTCATTTAATTTGCATTTGTCCAGTTGATTCCTCCTAGATTTTCTTCATTGCCATTCTCAGGTGGAAAATGTACTGATCTGTACCACATGATATCTTAGTAAATACTGATTGATAAGTAGTGATACAGTTGGTATGTATAAATGGTGGTTTGGTAACTGATGATTTAGAGATTTGATGTGAACTTAAATTGGACTTTGTAAATGTTCAAAATCTGTCTTTTTCTTAAGGCATAAACACATTTTTGTCAAAGTAGATGCTCATTTTGGCAAAGAGCATCTATACTTTGTCATCCAAGGAACCCAAACATAAGAGCAACTTGAAGGTGATCATGGTCTATACTTTCCCTTCTCTATCAAATGGAGAGTAGATTGGATGAAACCCAACTTAAATACTACTGTGTTGGAAAAGAGGGTCAATTAAATACTACTGTGTTGGAAATTTTTGAACCTCTCACAAAGTAGAAGATAAAAAAGAGAAATGTGGAGGAAAGGGGGACACCAGTGGGAGTCAAAAGGGTTGTTTGCCAGGGCAGAAGGCTTCACTGGCAACTCCTACATGGCTTTCTAAGATTTTGATGTATCTTATCATGAATGATAATTAATATTATATATATATATATGTATTTATATATTGGTGGAGTTTTTACACATTAAGATTAAGAATCACGATAAAACAAAATAAATCACCTGAAAGATTAATCCAAAGACCAAGTCAAGGAATTACATCATGAACTGAAGTGCACATCAAGAAGCCAATCACCAAAGGGATGCCAAGAAACAAGAACATGCCAAGTCATACTACACAGTACAGAAAAGACTCAAGATTCAGTGGTATGTTCGATGTATCGAGATGTCATCTGTAATCATCCAAAGATGAGTCTTGATTGCAGTGGTGCAAGAAAAGATGAGGAACAGATGGAGACATCAGAAATCAAGAATGCACCTATCCAAGACAGACGAGCAGCACCAGAAGAAAAGAGCTCGGCAAGAACTGCTCCTCCACTGAAACCAGTGGTCGATCAAACTACTGTAGATTTACTTGAAAGCTGCTGTGAGAAGTTTGCAGAGCTGCTGACATCATGAAGGATTAAGCGGTGCAAGAACAGAGCACTGGCTCAGACTTGCCTCCGCTCTGCGAGGCGAAGACACAGCACGGCTGCGGTGGCTGCCATGGCCACGACTCCGCACGCCGTGGCCGAGCCACGGGCGAGGGAGTGCAGCAGAGACACCAGGCGCTCCATCTTGGCTGTCGGCTTCCTCACGTGGATCTCCGCTGCATCCCTCGCCTTGTGCTCGGTGACGCCCAGCTTCTCCTCGATGGCCTTGACCGCGGTCTCAAGGTCTCTGATCCTGACCTCCAAGTGGGTGCCCATTTCCTTGATGCATCTCTCCAAGGAGACGAAAGACCTCTTCCTCGCAGTCCACGACGGGACCACGGGGACGAAGGCGGCGACCTTACCATCGGAAGTATCATCCTCGATTTTGGCACGGGGGGTGGAGGCGATGGAGGAGGCGGACTCCTCGTCGCCCATGGCAGTCATGGGTTTTCTTTGCTGGAGCAGAGAGAGAGAGAGGTGGCGGAATGGGAGAGAAGGAAGCGTAAGGGTGGTGAGACTTATAGGGGAAATGAACGGTGGATGATCGTCTCCGTGATCGTGCAGGTAGATGATCATAATAGCCAACACGCTTGATACCCACCAGTCTACCCTGCTTCCGATTGGACGAAAAAATATGGGCTCCACAAGAGCTGGTCGCTTAGAGACTACCCTTCTGCCTAGTGCGTGTATATATATATATATATATATATATATATATATATATATATATATATATATATATATATATATATATATATATATATGTGAGCATTTTTTTAAAATTTGATAAAATTATCCCTCCTTGCTCCACTAGTAGCCTCAAATCATTATCAAATCATCATTGTCGACACCCTCTATTTCCACTATGAGCAACATCGTTTACCACTATAAACATCATCGTTTTTTGTTCCTCTCTTCCCCCTTCTCCTTTCTCTCCTCCCACCCTTTCATATAGTCTCTAAGCAATAGCTTTCTCCCCCTTTATCGCCTAGGCAATGCGGGTAGAGCAAAACCAACGATGAAGACAATAAAATCCATGACAATATTACCTCTCCTCTACAATGCCTTCGGAATAATGATGACGATCTATGACAAGACAATAACGGGAAGAGGCACCATTTGGTAATAGATCAATATCAAGGGCTATTTTAGGTAAAATGCTAATACATTTGTAAGATTATCACATATAAATGGAGTTACGAGGATACGAGTAGGTGTAAATATTTCCAAGAAACCCTCTCCCTCCACTTGTAAACATAATAGATAAATTCTAATGAAGAATAAAACTTTGATATGAGAATTGAGTCCAAGAGGATCCAAAGGTTTCATGTTGCAAGCAAGTTTACTCTTCAATTTAAGTCTTTAATATGTAATTATATATGATAATAACCCACCCAAAGACACTTGCTGATATGCTTTTTAGATAGTTTGGGAGATAATACTGAGGACCACAATGATATAATTGGGTCATCACATTAAAGATAAAATAAAAAAACAATTATTGATAGGGAGTGTTTTGATAATCAAACCTCGAATCACCCTTTATATGACAGTGATGTGAGGGTGGTCATGGCCCCTCCTCCCTTAGTCTATGAAGCCTCCTATTGTCCCGATGGACAAAATGCCAAAGGGGAGGACGTTAAAACTGTTATAGATGATTCTCTCAACCGATTAGGTATAAAAGCCAACCCCCAACGTTGACATAAGAGTTGAAGCTCTTTCCTAAAATATTTCACATTCTAGATAATCTTTAAAAACTAACTTGAGTGTTAGAGGAGTTGGGTCGAAAAACTCCATTGGCCTTTGTGCAGGAACCGATCGAGAAGATTGGACTCCGTCTCGACTAAATCTCAAAACCACCTCGGATAGGCCAGGATTACGTAAAGATCACCTCGAAGTCACCTCACTCGTATCAAAGCTGCCATGGGGGTTCCTCGGACATCCCCATGCCTTCAAGTCCATATTGAGCCGAGCTGATTACAAATCCCCTCAACAAACACAAAATGAATTAAAAAATATATAAATTAGAGATGAAAATTAAATAACTTGTAGCTTATACTAGTGCTGCTTGCTTTTACTTATGTTTTTGTTTTCTTTAGTATATTTCTTTACATTTGTTCTTCCTAATTCCATCATCAGTTGAACTAAACTTATATCTACAGACTACTTCAAAATGTTTGATAAGAACATAATTTATGACCATGAAAATAATTGATGGTGCCTGTTAGCATCATCATCTCAGAAGAAGCCACTGCACCTAAACCTATATGAAGTTAATATGCCATTTAAATGAACTAGAAATACGCATATATGAGGGGATGTCAATCACAATGACTCAAAAATTATATGATGTCTTGCGGACCAATGGCTTCATTCCCTAATCCTCCAAGCATGTCCTCATCTAATGCACATCAACTAATTGTATCAAAAGAACCAGAGAAGGCATCTCATATGAGCACATAATTGTTGTGATCTGAATCACCATCATCTTGGTACCTATAATTGGTGACATATATATTAGATGGATCCAATAGATTCATCATCATATACTACATAGAACAAGATCATACAAGAAGCAGTATTAGAATAAAAGAACAAATCAACCAGTGTTCTTTCTGTGCCAACGAAATATTTTTGAACATATGAATGCTTCTTTGAAACAACTTTAAAAGCTTCACTTCTTAGAATTGCCAACTAATAGTGATTGTTTAGGCTCCTGAGAACACATATATGATATAACAAAAATAAAGATACAGCTTGTCGGAATATTTCATAGACGAACAGAGAAATCATAATATTCTGTAAACTTCAATCGATCAAGAAACAGAACATGTCTACTTCTCAACATTGTCAGCAAGACTGGTGATTTCAAACAAATTTCACTTCAAACTGGATGGGTTTTCCATATTTCTGTTGATCTTTTTTCTCTCTTGATTGCCATAAATAATGAGGCTGAAAAGACAGTTCCAACAATCTTTTAGCATTGATACTTCAAATTATTTTGTTTCAGGAGGAACTTCAAAGTCTTTTTTTATAGCCCAAGTTCTTTCTTCTTTCATCCAGAATTTCGCACTTTAAATTCATCCGCTAGGTTCAGTTCATATCATTAAACTCATCCTAGCGTCCATTCCCTTGACTACTTGATTTTGAGAGATGTAGCTTCGCCTTTAAGATCCTATCAAACTACACATTCTTTTCATCTATATCCAAGGATGATCGTAAACTGATGTTTCTAGTAGATCAGCCTATTAGGCTTAATGTAGCAGCAAAACATGATTGTTCATGCAAGAGGTGGAAAGGGATTACCCTCTACCATGATTCTATTACAGGTCATAATTCTCTTAACACAAACGGAATGGAGTCATTACTTGTATTGCAGGAAGAGTGGTCATCAATCCTTCATTTAAAACAGGACCTCCAATGTCCATGTATAATGCAATACATGCACACGAAGCTTATTCTTTACACAAATATTCTTTGACGTAACATAATAAACCGTAAGCGTTCGTTCCAAGATTACGGGAGCATCCACAAAATTGTACATTTTGCTATATAATTTTCAGGCAACCAAAGAGTTCTGCTAGCAGCTTACTTCCATTAGAATCATTTGAAGAGAATTCACTTCTTTAAATGGCATCCTTCTCTAGACAATCATCCACTGCTTAAACAACATATTCTTTTACCTCAATGACATTATGTCCATCCGAAAGCATTTTTACCAAATAAATGAAAAGGGAGGCCCCTTTAGTAAGTGAAAGAACTGGCCTTTCCGCACTGAACTCTTAAGTCAAAATTCCCCCTGATACCGTATATACTGAGCCCTTTCCGAATACCTATCCTAACGGCTTAAACTTTTGGGATTTATGGTCTCCTAATCAAAATTTCAAATTGGTACAAGTGCAAGTTGTGAGTTTGAATCATCTACTTGCACCTTTTTCGTGTGTTTCATTGAAATATTCATGCAGCATTCTTCATTTGGGGTTTATCTATATGAAGAACGATTTTGTTCGCACTTCAAGCCAATTTATATTTGCCGCTTAGGCTTTTGGAATTTGTGATTACCCGATCAAATCAAAAGGATCTACAAACGTTTTGGCAATCCAACATTCATTTTTGACAGATGGCTGCCGGGCATCACACCCAAGCTTTGATCTATTTCTAGGTTAAGTTACAACACTACACCCCTGACCCTGTCTCTGCAATATACTGACCTTGTGCAGGTCCTCAAGTTTCATGCATCATGCTTTCTAAGTTGCACTTATAATGTGACCAAATCATCAATGACTTCACACTCAAATCACATAGCCATTCTTTTCTACGGCATTTAGCTTATAGTTTCTGGTCTGAGCATCTATCAGTAGCACAAGACACCTTCACACTAAACATTTCAGCTGGTAGTTCTCCCTAAAACATGTTGAACAGCAGCAAACAGGTCTCAGCCAACTCAGAAGTCAAACATTCTCTCCACCTAAGGGTGTGTTCTTTCTTTCCTACATGTTTCTCCCCTCCTAATAGTCAAATACGACACAGGAACAAGAACACATGCAGATACCAACCAAATCGAAGAAGAGGGAGTCCTTTCTTTCTTTACTTTTCTTTACCTTGCTTGACAATACGACAAAAGCAAGAACACCCAACGCCAAGAATCTTAATAAGAGACAAAGAATGAGGAGGATAAGAATCAGTGGACTGACCTTTCTCTCTTCACGCGCCGCCGCCTCCTCCTCCTCGCTGCAGTGGTGGGAGGACATACAGGGACTGGCGTCGGAGGCCACATCCCGGAAGGAGACTGGAAGCAGTGAAAAGCTCGCTTCTCTCGGTTGCCTTGCGCCCTATTCTTGCGTTCAGGAACACCGAGGACATAAGAGAGAGAAGAGGTGGGGGACAAAGGAGTGTCAGCTGTTTCTGCACCTTTCGAGTCTATCTGCTTTATTCTCTTTCTCTCTCTATGTTGCCGAGAGGAGAGAGAGGGAGGGACGGAGAACTGACGCGAATCCCAAATACGCAGATCAAAAGAGGAGGGAAGTTGCTTCTGCTGCTGCGCCCTGTACACTGTGCACTGCCCGCACCGTTCACCGCCATCGATGCGCTGGAGAGCACGCCGTTCTCGTCTTCGTGCGACAGGCACCCCTCGTTCCTCACCACCGGGCGGAAGGGGCGCCCGCCACTCCCACCCCTATCTCATCACTTCAAGAGAGCTTCACAGCATTAGTCTCCCAGTCGAGGATGGCATATAAACCTAGTCGACTCGCATCATTCACCTCGGAAGAACGACCAGAAACATTCGCATCAACATGTCTATTGCTGATCGACTCATCATCCTCATCTTTCACGTTGATTCCAACCCTGAACAGCGCAATTATGGCCGACTAGACGTCAAGCCTCTTGCTTCCCTTCTCTTCGTCCTCTTAACTTCTGCTCCGCTACTCTTGTTTCAGCTACACGGCTGGTGTACATTCTTGTCATACATGGAGAAACATCTTGCCATACATGCAGAAACATCTTGTCATACATGGAGAAACATCAAATGGTTTCATGTCATCCTCACCAGTGTAGCTCAGGCAAGATTTCAGTACACTAAATAAAGTTCATTGCCATATATATATATATAAACAAATGTACGAGCAAATGCTGCCACTGTGAAATTAAGAAGAACATATTTTATAGGTATTCACAAGATTCGCAGTTATTTACGACATACGTACATGTATACTTCATCTATAAAGTCGCGTGTCAGGCATGTTCAAGCAGGTTTATTATGTACATCATCCCAATCAACTGCTGCAGCAAAAGAAAAAGGAAGGAAAAATCCATGGGTAAGTAGTGCCACTGACTCAAGCTTAAGCACGATACAGAACAGGGAACATAGTGTAGCACCAAAACCTGTTATGCCCAGTTCTGTTTCTTGGATCGGAGCTGATGAAGCTGGTCCCTCCATTGAGCTGAAAGATGAGAAGAAATTTTCTACTTATTGAGAGTCTATAACAAGCACAAAGTACATAAATTTTATGTTCTTCTTATAGTGATATTTTATCCGCAATTCATGGAGCCAAAGTAAGGGCAGGAAATGAGAATACAATGTATTACCAGCATCTGTGTACCGTTCCTCAACAACAGCAGTCAGCATGTTTAGGATCAAACTGAACTCTTTGGTCTCCAAGCATGGCTGACCATCAGGCCTGTCAACGTCATGGTTTGAATTATGGGATCAAACAATGCATTGAACAAACACAATATCCATACAACTTCGAAAAGGTAACACGAAAACAAACAAATATATAAGAAGATTGATTTCATGGATTATGTTAAAACACCAAAGTAGCGGTACCAAGAGACAAAATCTGTTGCATAGTATGTACTGAAGTCATGAGACTGCAAGCAGAATTTGTCCTCGTCAAAAACCCACCAACATAGTAGGGAGGCACTTGAATGGTGAAAAAAATATTCATGGTTATATGAACATTTAATGGCTCACGAATCAGGAAATTGGAGAACAGGTTAGGCGATGGAAAGAACAAAACTCATCCAAGCAATACCAGGACAGTCTCTGAATTGGGATGCTAAATCTGACTGACCCTTTTATTCGTATTTTAAATAAGCATGGTTTTATTTCTACCTATCAAGTTCTGTGAACAGCAGTCCATCTGATCGAGGAACCTGCACTGTCAACTTGCTTGGCTCGACCACTCTCATCCCATCACTATATGCAAGATTTCTGTTGACTTGTATGGGAACCTGCATCAGTCAAAGCCATGAGGAAGCATAAACAAATAGATGTTCCCGAGTTGAAATATAACCTGAACTTCCATATGATAATCATAAAGTATGAATATGACATTATAAGTATTAGCAAATGAAGGGAAACTGGTCCCAAAATGAATATGTGCTAATAACATTGAAGCCATAAAAACATCTAATTCCAGTCTAATCACCTAAATGAACAAAAGAAATGGTTAAGTACCAATATATTATAATTAGTTACATCCACATGTCAACCACAGGCGTCAAAGTAACAATTTCAGTTAGAACAATATTAGTATGAAGCAGACACAACCACGCATCAATTACTTGGTTCATGACTAAAGGTTATTACTTAAGAACTAACCATTATGATGACTATGGCATGTCAATCCTATATTTACTCCAGTTCTCGTGTACAGGATGGGCATCCCATGGTTTTAGCCTTTCAGGCTAATCAAGTATGTCACAACCTACCAGTTCCCAACCCACAAGATGTGGATAAAAAGCCAAACTTTGAAGAGAAATCTAAACACTACAAGAAAGAACCAACTTGGCTCATCATTCATGCCACGAGTGAGTCAGTTGCTACCACACCCCTAATAGTAGCAACTAGACGTCTGCTAGTTCAGTGGACAATGTGACCACTTTTTACCAACTTTAGGAATCATGCTATCATTTGATCCTCCAGCCTCACTAAAGCAACAAATCATTATCCACTGAATTGAATGACTAAATAAGGATCCAGTAATTTCTTTAAGAAAGTTCTCCAGGTTTCAGAAAGTTTGTCTCTGTCAGATCATTAAACAACAGCAACTCTCTTTACTTGCAGATTAACATAGCTCGGTTAAGAAAAAGCTGGCGCTGACCCCTACAAGAGAGTTTTGATAGTCCTCTTTCACCCATGTAGGGCAGCAAGTATACTGCAGGTCTTGCTCTTCATGGCATGACTAAAGTCAACTCTTTGTAACAGCATCCCAATATATCCTCATTGGCATAGTTGGAATAAGATGCAAAAATAGAATAGTGAAAAACTGGTCACCCCGCTCAAGAAAACAAGATAAAGAAAAGGAAATCCACAAATAAGAGGAAAAATGAATGCACGTACGGATAAAATTTACATGTAATTCTCCTTCTGAACTTGTTTTGAGGAATTAGAATCTAAACTGGGACCAGCTCTATAACTTGGGACAGGGATTGGATCAGACTAAATCAGATACTCAGATTCACTTGCATAGAATCCAGGATAGTTGTAATTGGTCAAGAACAGTTACAATAGATTGAAATCAAGTTAAGAGTTATATACCCATGAATCTTTACAAGTCGATTCAAATCTTTATATAATATAGCTAGTCAGCCGCAACTATGAAAATATATATGATTTCATAGTTGCAATCCAGGATGGTTGCAGTTGCATCATATTTTCTTGAGTGTTGAGTCAGTGACTATAACTCAAGTTAGTACTTATATACCCATCAAGTCCTTACAAGTTGATTCAAATATTTTCTTACCTCATATATATATATATATATATATAGCATTGGTTTGGCACTCTTCAGCACCCAGTTGGTGATCCAAGAGACTTGTTCCCAAAAGGATGCTGATCTACTCAGCAACAAGGTTTTTTTGTTTTTGTTTTGAGAGTGTTTTCATCGGTATCGAGGGGTGGGGGTAGGCAGTTTGAAGTAATAATTTAACAAATGGAAAGCAACTACACAACAATGGGAACGAAGGCATGAAGCATGACATGTTAAAAAGTGATGCCAAAGAAAAAAAGTTTACAAAAAGGAATATACCACCAAACATAAGAGAAAGAAAAAAAAAGATAAAATCTCTAGAGCCACAGAAAAGCTCAAGTTCATCACAATATTGTCCTTGTACAGCCTACAATTTACCCAACAGTTCTCTTTAAACAAGCTCAACCAGCCCCTTTTATGCCTTAAATTAAGAATTCCATCACCTACAGAACTCTTAAAATTGATTAGATAACAACAAACCAATTCTCTATCAATTGGACACATCCCAACTCAATTGAACTAAAATTCAAAATATCCAACCCTCTCTGCCACACTATATAGAAAGAAAAAAAAAATTCAAAACTACTGTAATTTCTTTAAGAAGTACTAATCCAAGTTATGCTATGAACTCAAACTAGTCCAAGCATGCTTTGAGTCAACCTAGATCTTAGATACTCGATTTGTCCTTAAGCTGGACCAAGCTTCATCTAAGCTAGTATTTGCTACAGTGAGACATTTCTTAAATCTATAAACTTGTATTATTACAGTTTGTGAGACCACACACCAACAACTTTGAGCTTTTTGAGAAGAAGTATGTACCTTGCACCGAACAGCCATATTTATGGCATCCGAAGGTCGGAGATCAAAGCTAATAGTCTCTTTTTCATTCCCTACCTGCATTTGAGCAAGATGCTTAACTCAACCTCTTTTTTCCTTTTAAAGGGAAGTTTACTCAGATCACATGTTGTCCATGCTACAGAAGAAATTAGAGAAAGCATATCTCATAAATCAGTATTTACCTTTGCAAGGTACAGCTGAGCAAAGTAAGCCTCATTTACCCTCTTGGTGACCCTAACAAGTTGAACCTGGCACAATGAATTTATCAAAAAAACAGAAATAAGAGCCAGCTGCAACTATGAAACGTAAATAAAGACAAGGTATTGTTAATACTAGTCACTGAATCAACACTCAAGAAAATGCTCCTTCAATTACAATCAAGGGTTCTACACAGTAAGTCATATGGTCATAACAATAAATACTACAAGATGATCCCTGATAAACTCAGATACACACAGATGAAAAAGGGTTATAACTGAGAACTGAGTAAGTTTACATACACTTACCACATATCCCATCTTTTCAATCATCTCTTTGATTACTTGATAAACGGTTGGCCTAGCCTGAGAAACATATGTTTTTCACTCTTCATTTTAGAAGGAAAAAGATCAACAAATTTATCCAGATAATCCACAAAATATGATGTCTTACAATTTGGACATTGCGAATTGCAGCCATTAGCAATACACTTGGCATCTCCACTGGAAATTAAGAAAGTTACAAGATTACTTCTTGGAAGAGAAGACTATTGATGACAAATTAAGATAGGAAAAAAAAATACATACAAACAATAATAGGAAGCAGAAGATCACTTCCATCTTCCATCTTCAAGACAATAGCAGGGTGAGGAGCATAGTCTGGTAAATTTCCACCTTGAGGATTATTATGCACACATCTTAAATGTTTACCATCACGCATCTTTATTATGAAACCATCCGATCCACTTCTGACCTCAACTGCTTGTACAAGAGAACTATCATGTATCTATATTCCTTACAATGAATCATAAGATTAACAGGTTAAATTTCACTTAAAAAGAATAATCAACTTTGTCAGCATGCATCAGTTGGTAAAAAAATAATGAGCAAGATCATCCCACCACTCAAACAAGTGGCTTACTTGTTGTCATCCAATACCACATATTTGCTGATAAAGGGCACCAACTATTTAGTACTAGATAAGGAACATCTAACAAACTCTCTTTGGCCCTTGACTCAGATAGCAAACAACAATATTAGCAACTCTAATAATTTGGCCTCAAGTCTCAGCCTAAGCTGACACATCAAAAGCAAGGAGAAGTTATTCAGTATCCACTAGTTGCGACAACAAAAATGTTGAACACCTAAAGATATCAGGGTTCTGGTCACATGAGTTCTACAATTCAAAAGTCAGGTCCTAATCCGACATTCAGAGGACGAAAAAGTATGACACATATGCAATGTCAAATAAGACTATGGTTCAAAAAGTTACCCGCTTCCATCACACTGGAATTTACATACTCCTCATCGTTTGCACTGAAATTGCCAGCCATGCTTCCATTATCATCAGAAGAAGAGCTGAAACTACAGTGAACACGCCAATGTCTCTTGCTACAAGGTTGCACATACAAGCCACCAACCTGAACTATGCTTTTGCATCTAGGTTTGTATCCCCAGATTCCACTTTGAAGACATATTGCCTTTGTAATATTATTAGAAATAAGAGGAGTCGGAATTCCAGAGTAATTTGCATGAATATCAGGGCAGCAGATTGTTGCCCCCTTCAGAACTGCCATCTCAATTCCCCTCTGTGCAAGATATTATGACATATAAGCATGATTCTACAATGAAAAAGGTCAAAGAGATAAAACTTGGTAAACAGAAGAAACGATCGAAAGGAAGAAAACACGAGCACCACAACTGAGAGAAAGTACCAGGACCTCACCAATATGTTAGTAATGAATTTTGTGCATGACAGGTTACTGAAACCAAATGAATTTAGTAGTGTTTTTTGCTCATAGTAGAGTACTAATCACTAATCACTTAAAATAATTCTATGATGCACCATCTGAAAAATATGCAACACAACAACATGTGTTTCTTGATTTGAACAATGAGCCTGAATCATTGTAGTCTACAAACAGATATTAACAGAGTAAAAGCATCATCTACCATAAGTTTATTTTGCTCACATAATTTCTTTTTCATAATACGCATTTAAACTTGTTTGTCTTGTTTTTAAAATTAAAATATTTTTCATATGGTGCAATTTAACTAGTTTGTTTTGTTACCTTGAAATCATATGAGTTCATGAAGAACTGGTATAACTCTAAGAGATCAGGGAACAATTAAAGAGTTATTAAGTTGTTATGATATAAATAATGAATAAAAATGTTGGAGCAACATGGATGCCTAGAATGTCATGGCACATGGCTCCTTATGAGATAAACTGAAAGTGGATTGTACACAGCTCCATCTCCCATAAATCTAACCCATGCTAGCAATTTAAACAAAGAGGACATAACAATCTGGAAAGATAGATACAGAAGGCACCTCCAAAACCTATCCAACTCTGGAGATGATATATTCAACACAAAGGAAGAAGTTTTGACAACCATGGTTCTATTGAAGTCAGACGTCAAACCAGGTTCTGGAATGCATAAAACGCATAGGAATTCTTACTAACGAAGCTTCAGAATTAGCAAAACCAAGAACAGAACTTCATATACAACATTATCTGCCACGACGACATGGAATTATTGGCACTTAGGAAGGTTGAAAAAAAGAAGACACCATTTGATGCATAACAAGTTCAATTTTCTGTTCTCGGGGAAAAATACAGAAGCTTTGTGGCCTTCGAGAGAAAAAAGAAACATATAGAGAATGAAGAGAAGTCTAAGTTCTACCAAATTTAAACAAATACAACCTTAATGGAATGTCAGACCATGGAATTACATACTGAATTCACTTTGCCATTTAACATCATATCAGCTCCAAATATATTGGTCATATAGTTGATTAACAAAAGTGCAAAGCTGTGATAAAGGCTTAAAGTGTTAAGTGAGAAAATAAATCTCTCTGCAAATTAAATAAACGAGAAGTCACCTTACATGCATTTTTCAGAATGTACTATATCATGCAGCAAAATACTTCTGTTTTAGTATCCGTTTGATAGAAAGCTTTGTTATGTTTTATGATCTTGGCAATGCTTCAAAAGTTCCAATTCAAAATACAATTTCCACTTGATTGTTAAGGAGTTACGCTTATGTATAAAGACTTAAGAGCAAAGATTTTCACCTTTACGGTATAAAGTAAGATGATTTCTTGTGGTGGTTTGTATTAATGAGTTAAAAATGATTTATTAGCATATTCAAATACAGGATGGGCAAAAGACATGCTTAAGTGACATGAGCGGAATATTTTTCACATATATATTTCTGTTATCAGCCAATTCTCACTTCAACTATATATATATACACCTATCACTGAATACAGAGTTTCTTAAATTGCGACTGAGGTACCCCACAAGCGTACAATCAGTTGCAAAGTGCATCTTGATAGCATAAATTTCATACGATCATTTCTCTCATGCATCTGTTACAGTTTCTTAACATATTTATTTTGTTTATCTTCTTCCAGAACAATCCCACTCATCCTGCCACGCTCATATGCATGCATCACAAGATTCACAACTTGTTATTACCAAAATTATTCATTTCCTTCGTCCCTAAAACTTCCAACATTCACTCAACTCACTAGACCCAAAGAGATCGATCATCACATGATTAACTAAGCAAAAGATAAACAAAAAGAAGCACAAAAACCAGATCAAAGCAAAAGCTGCAACCTTTAGCGAAATCAAGTAATACTTTCACAAATAATCCAAGCCGAATATGCCAAACCAGCACCATCTCAGAAACCCAGCACACAACCTCGCAAGTCTCAGACGAACAACTCTCGGAAAGGAAAAACAGGTGAACAAAAAACCGAAAAGGAAAAACAAGGGAAAAAAAAAAGAGAGAAATGAATTCGATTACCACAGCCCCCGTTACAAAACCGGACTTGAATCGACGGACCAAAATGGCTACAGAACAGTTGCGATCACGAAAGAACACCAACCATGCGAACCCACCGGAACCAAATCTTTACAACGAAGTCGACCGCCCGACGAAGATGAGGAAAAGGTAATTAGCAATCCGTAGACCAAACACCCCAAGATTCCGAACCCGACGCTTCCTTTGCCCACCGTCTACAAGGAGAATGCTTTATTCGAATCCTAAATTACGTATTTATTCCAACCTTTTCTGTTTTGACACATTTACATACTCCAGTGGGCAAAGTCGGTCAAGGGTAGATAAGTAATTTAAGATTCTGTTATACCACGAATACCCTTCCTTTGTTTCATCTGCTACGCTGCTCGGGGAGTCGGCTCCCACCGTATTCCCGGGCTACTCGTCCCCTAAAAGACAAAAATACCCCTCCAAGTCTGGGTTGCATATCGTTATAGAGTAGCCATCTAATTTAGAATTAAAGAAAGAGTTGGTGGTAATTTAGTCATTTAATGTCCCGGAACCACACGCAACCGGGAGCCGTCGGTTAACGGATGAGGGGTGGAAAAAATCCACACCATGGGATGCAGAAGAATTGACACGTGTCCACCCGAAGTGGTCCGGATAAGGGTGTTATTTCTTTTTCTTTTCTTTTCTTTCCTTTAGTAAACGGGTGTCTCTTTGGGCTTATCCAACAAAAATATCCGCGTGAGGACATCTCACCGGAATGATGATCATGATCAAGGTGGCCCACCTGACGCACGAATATTGGCGGATCTTTGATATTATTTTGCGTTAGAAGTTTCTACTTCTGACTTATTCGACCTGACACGTGTAATTAAGAGCCACATGCGATGACAGCTTGGCAGACACCAGCATGACCTCTATCTCGATTCGGCTCAATTGGACGCTACCAATGGATTTATTATTGCAAACAATTGAAATACAATATTTATTATTGTATTATTTCTATGGCATTAATCTTTTTAAAAATGTTAATATATTAAACTTGAATTTACAGAGATAAATTTTAAAATCATTGGCCGATTTCCTTAAGAAGTCATCATTTTTGTTTTTTTCCAAATAGTGTCTCTGTTTTTTTTCTCAAATAGCGCCCTTATTTTTTGTTATCTCGAAAATACCCTTCATTTTCTTCCCCGCCGTCGCCTCCGCCCCACCGACGTCGCCCGTGCTTCCCCGCCCGTCACCTTCGCGCCGCTGGCGCCACCCACGCATCGCCTCCGCCATTGCTCCCCCGCTCGTCGCTGCGAGATTCGCCCTTCCCCGTCGCACCCCTCACCTCCGCGTTTGCCCTTCCTCGCAGGTGGGTCCCTGCCCTTCCCCATCGTGCTCCTCACCTCCGCCCGAGCGAAAGGCAACCGTTGCCGCTTCTGTCGCCGCCAACAACAAGGCACCCCGCTAACTATGCTCTGCCGTCCCACAAAGCAGAGGAAGGGAGGGGGGCGCATACAGGGCCAACGATAACAAGACCGATCCTTCCTCTATTGTCGCCGACCTGGCCATAGGCTGCCCCACCCTCCCTTCCTCTGCTTTGTGGGGCGGGGGAGGCGCAGCAGGCTGCGTTGTCATCGGTCGCAGCACAAGGGGTAGCAGCCGTCTCTCGCTCAGGCGGAGGTGAGGAGCGTGATGGGGAAGGGCGGGGACCCATGTGCGGAGAAAGGCACACGCGGAAGCGACGAGCACTATGGGAAAGGGCGGCGTCGAAGGGGTGGAGGTATTTTCGAAATTACAGAAAACAGGGACGTTGTCTGAGAAAAAAAGGAAAAGAGGGGCTTTTTCAAAAAGAATTGGTCCAAAATCATTCAATGCGTACAGTTCCACGTGGCAAGAGAGGGGCTGCTTAATTGACCGCGTGTCAAAGCCGGTGCTCTCCGCCGTACTCGGAAGTCCGCGATTCCGCGGTACATTCCCTTCGGTCAACAGATCGGACGGTGGAAATGAGGCGCAGCGAAGCACCCTCAAATCTGGTCCGACGGTTCTATCAGGGTACATTGTGCCGCCGGTTCAACATAAGCAGTGCAGGACGCGCAGCGCCCGATACGAACCCGACGTGTCGGTTATATTTAATTTGGCGCCTCCACTCGGTCGCCCATCGTTCTCTTGATCTGGTGATTCGTAGCGGACGCAGAGATCTGTGAGATCCACGCACGGAATTGGTGTGGATTAAATGTAGGCACAGAGTGACAGTCGATCCAAGCCGGGTCGCGACGATTTTGAGGCAGCGCTGGGCGGAGATGGGAGTAGTGTAGGCTGTGATTTAGGGCTCCTGGTGAAGTCCGTTGGAGGAATCGCAAGGGGCAGAAGGTGATCCAACGTAGGGGCCTGCCGATCTGATGGTGCCCCCGCTTGGGTCTCCGGGAAACCTAGGGCTTTAGTCCGTTCTTGGGTAGAGAACGAGGGAGAGTGGGAGGGTTGAGATCTTTGCTGCTGAAAGCATAGAAGAAGAAGCCCCGAGTGGTAGTTGGGCAACTCTCTGAAGTCCGCTAGATATTTGCTCGGACCAAGGTAATTACTTTTTCTGATATCTCTCAGTTTGTAATCCTGATCATTGGATCGTCTAGTGGAGACCTTTTTCAGCTTTAGCTGTTTACTCTTTCGCTGCAAATTTTTGGGTTTTGGCTTCTGCCATCTCGAACTGAGTTCCGTGAGTTCGTTTCTCCATACTTCTCATTTTCATTAAGGTAAATTTCATAATTATAGAGTTTTATTTGGTTTTGGATGATGATTTAATGGCTTTTCCCTTTGATGTCCTGTTTAAATCTTGAAGTTTACTCTTTTAGAAAATTCCCGTTTAGTCGGACTAGTCGTTTTGGAAATGTCTAATGTTTTGATGTCAGACAAAAATTTTGCTCTTTCTCATCATTTACTTTCTATGGTGATTCCCTTCCAGTTGAACTAACCATTTTAGGAATTTTCAATGTCCTGACGTCAGAAAGAAGTGGTCTTTCTTTTTTTTTTTCTGGTTTGTAGCATGATGTTGCTTGCTTAATCTCCGGCTTCTATTAGATCTAGTTGCTTTTTGAATACAGTGATCTCTGTTTCATTGTACTTTTGCTTTTGTTCTTTATAGGAAATGGCTATGCTAGTTGATCCTCCAAATGGAGTGGGAAACCAAGGAAAACATTACTACTCAATGTGGCAAACCTTGTTTGAGATCGATACAAAGTATGTTCCCATCAAGCCCATTGGCAGAGGAGCATATGGGATTGTGTGCTCATCAATCAACCGTGAGACAAACGAAAAAGTTGCTATCAAAAAAATTCACAATGTATTTGATAACCGTGTGGATGCACTTAGAACATTGCGCGAACTGAAACTCCTTCGACACATTCGGCATGAAAATGTTATTGCTTTGAAAGATATAATGATGCCAGCCCACAGGAGAACATTTAGGGATGTGTATCTTGTTTATGAACTTATGGATACCGATCTGCATCAGATTATCAAATCATCACAAGCACTTTCCAATGACCACTGTCAGTACTTTCTCTTTCAGGTATCGATTCTTGAAATTTGAAATTGTGCACGGTACTAAAAGATAATTTGTGGGCACCATTAATAATCCATCTCTCATGGTTGGTTTGGTGGCCTAGATTTTTATGCATAAGACAACTTCTCATGGTTTGGTTTTTTATTCATGATACCACTTACTATGGCATGAATTTTTTTCTTCTTTTTCTACAGTCATGACTACATTTCAAAAGCCAGTTTCTTATGGCTTGACTTATTGATGGACAGAAGCTAAAATTGTCTTGGTTTCTCATGCATAATATAACTTTTTGTTAGCTTTCTTGGTTTCAAATCTTAGCTTCGCAAATTGGTTTCTTATTTGTAAGGCAATCTCTAATGCTTAGATTCCTCCTGAGCAAGCTCATATGTCTCATTTTCCTCTTGACTCAACATCATATGGATTGATTCCATGGCTTATTTCTTATGTATAGTCTGATCTCTAATGACTTGGCATCGTAACTTTCCTACATGTTGACATTTTATGGATTGATCTTTTCTTTACTAAATGGTTTTAATTTCTTATGCATAGGATGACCTCTAATGATTTAGATCTTTATGACTTGAATTTTTTTACTATAGTAGAAGCTAGGTGGCACCATGGGCTAAAATCTCAGCTGTTATCGATATTGGTCTGCAGCTGGACTGATATGGGACTGGTAGGTACATGTATGGGGTAGTAGCACAGCTGGGTATTGGTAAACTTACTGCTAGGTAAATCTGACACGGTAAGTTTACCGAGCGGTAAGTCTGGTTTCTGACCTGATTGAGTGAAATTGCCTGATCCTCACACTGGTCTGCAGTCAGATGAGTAAAATTCAGTTGGTATGAAATTTGAATCCATGGATTGTATTATTCATAAACTAATTTTTTATTGCTCAGCTTCTTTTTTCTTGGACATGCTTGAGATTGTTTATTGCTTTATTTAGTGAATTGGAATCAGGGAAACACTAGGCATAAGTTAATCCCTTATAGCTTGGCACTAGTTGGAGTGGGCCAGTTATCCTTTGTTTTAGAATGACACTTCCTGATTTCCATCTCGGTGAGGTTCGGCTGTTTTTGGGACAGTTTTAGCCTATTTATTTTTTTTATTTTCTTTCTTGAAAAAAAATTCTGCAGCAACACAGGGTCCATTTAACTTGTCACTCCAAAAAATATATCACACCCACAAAAATTCTACCTAGTAGTCAGGTGCTTTGTTATTAGTCATGTTCCTTAGGAAAATACAAATTGCTTCCATTTACCATGAAGTGCAATTTTGTTTACATTTTTCATGTAGTTAGTTCAATTGTTTTGGCATTTTTGAGGGATTATATCATTCAGTTCAACAGTTCCAAGGATAAATCCATAATCACCTACCTTTTGAGGAATACCTATAATATTTATGTACATTATGTTTCATTATGACTTGTTGGAAGTTAAGAAACATAAGCCAGTCTACTTGTGATGAACAAGAAAAACATCTAGATTTTACGGACTCGATTTATAGGGATATGGTGATGATTGAAGTTTTAAATGGATTTTCTACTTAAGAAGCGAACATGAATTTAAATACTATGCCTTACATCGAAATTCTTAATATGGTACCTAAGATGTGTTGATAACATGGATGTCATCTCATCTGAGATGATGGGGATATGATCTGTATTGGTTCTTATTGGGAGGTTCAAAGATAGTAAGAAA